CGCCGGGGAAGTGCCGAACCATGGGCCTTGAAGGAATGCGCGGTTTTCAACATTCCGCTCAAGAAGTCTATATAGTGCATGCATTCACAACGCTCTGCCCTAAAGAGCAGGCAGTAGGCGACTGTATGAATTGTGTAGAGGAGGGTTTATCAATCTTCCAGAAATCACTGCCATAAGTGAGGGAAAAAAAAGAAGCGGACTATCGTTTGTTTAGACCATCCGAGAGGCAAAAGCGAGTTCATGTAGACCTTTTTTCGCCCTCCACGCGTCCGCCGCAACGAAGATATTGCGCATGAACGCAGCTATAGCCTTGTCTGCAGAATTCCCTAACTCGGTAGGGACTTGCGGAGAGCGTTGCGGGAGTTATGGGACTCTAGACACCATCAACGAAAACTCTATATTCTTCAGATGTCTCACAACCAAATGTTTTTTTTTTTTTTTTTTGTTTTTCACGGTTTAGCGATTCTAGTGGTGTCCTCGCGAACTATACGGCGGCCCTTGTTGCCAAGTCACCGCGCGACGGATGGAAACACTCTTCTACGTCCACGTACGTGGATGGATGGACGGATTCTAACGGCTGTATCTTTTATGCCGGACGGTAGCTCGCGCCACCTATAGCCTCGAACCTCCCCCACCTCCCATCAATCGCACAGACCGGGGTGGTGTTCGGCCATCGACCAGCGCCCATCTTACCCGCCGCCGTGCGGTCAGCGGACACGATGGACGCAGCGCACGACACTTCCGGGCCGTCTGCCCAGCGCAGTCGATTCGAATCGATAGCTTACGACCAAAGGAAGAACTTAACGCCGTACCGCCTCGCCTTATCCGCAAACAAAGCTGGACAACAGTCGGGGATCATTGGCTACAATAAAACGCAGAAAGTTGTCTCCGAACGTGTGACGCAAGGGTACGTGTGTTGCAAGAAAATGTAACTCGCGTACGTTCGCTTCTTGGCCAGGAAATTTAATCGTCTTCGAGAGACCGACAATATGATCCAGCAGCGGGCAATCCCCGAAGGTTCCCGAAGAGTAAACGTAAGTGCTTATGAGCACATGACTACACGCGCATGTGCCGGCTACAGTAAGGTGAAAAAGCCAATGAAGTATTGGTGACCGGCTTCGTTAAGTGCAAACCGGCTAAAATAAGAGTTTCGTGCCAATAAATGCGCTTTTCTCGTTGGGACTAGTGCCATTGTTTATTATGTACATCTTATTTCCTCTTTTGCTTTTATTTGCGGACTGTGTCGTCGCGTCTGTACTCCTTAGGACTTCAAGGACGCGTTGAGCGCTGCCTTACAGCTTCTTTCCTTAACCGCCACACAAAGCGGGGATGGGCAATTAACTCGTTGTAGTTCTTGCTACATCTACTAAGATCGACGCCTTACCTATCCTGCATCAACGTGCTCGAAGGTCAATCGACTGAGGTCTGCAAGTTTGAAGCCAACACGGGATTTCTCAGCAGCACTTCCTGTTCCGTATTTCTTCTCTTGAGGGTCGGTGGCCGAGTGTGTACTAACGCATCGCAGCACAGGAACACGCGGAGTAAAGTTCGCTTTGCTGCAGAATTCAGGTGTTTTGCGTTCAATACGCACCGCTGCCTGTTTCGACTGGTATGAGCATCGTAGCGACGTGCGGTCGAATATCTCTACTGCTTGATACACGCTAAAGACCCCAGGATAGCAGTGCTACTCTACTGGCTAAATTTCTCATCTCCAGCAGAGACAACAGGCACTCACTGGGGCTGCCTAACCTCCCGTTGTCTAAACGAACACACAACACAATTACTGTTTTCTACATCCGACACCCGAATTGGCGCAGAGAAGGGGCTACTGACGACGCATGCGGCAACGCGCTACGACACCACATGTGCCGTCGGGTGTCGGATCTATCGATCAGGAAGTCCGAAAACACGACCGATTCGCTGGGACGTTGCCGATCGGTCTCGGAACAATCGTGTTACACGAATCGAGAGGCGCGCCCGGAGATCTAAGTGCTTGCTCTGATTGCTGCTAATTTCATCCCGTCCACCGACGATAGATCGTCTTAGTGGATTGTACGCGATAGATTTCCGACGGAAGAAAACTGCCGGTCAAAAGAGCGCGTGCGCAAAACGAAAAAAAAGAAAGAAATGCCAGCTTTGAGGACACACGCGACATTCGACGTTGCGCGATTTGCGGCCCTTGCGAACGTCGGGGACTCTTGCGGGAACATCTCGCGAAATCTCGGGCCCACAGCGAGAGCGCCTGTTTCAAGATGGCTGCAGCTACCACGACAGGCAACCTGGGTAGGCTAGACACCATAACCTGGGCAATGCGCGTCCGCGTGGGGCCTTTCAATCGCTTGGCTCTCTTACGCGAAGAATACAGCCGAGTAACCAGAAGTAATCTCATCCGCGACCAGCCTAACTCTATTGCGGGGTGCGCGCACGAAAAATATTCGCCACCCGTGTTGAACGTGATCGCTACACGATATACTGATCGAGCAATTCGTCACCAACGCACAAAAGACTCGTAAAAAAAAAATGGCCGACGTTAGGGTCTGCATTTCGCGTGAGAATGTCATCCATATGTCCTCGTGATAGCATCGAGGGCATCGGCGGTGGCGATCCCAGGGGGATGATGATACCTGACGGAGGAGACTCCGCGGTCGGCCGTGAAGTTGCACCGTCGTACTCGTATACACCACAGTAAAAAGTTCTATTTACAGTCAGTCGCGACTCAGCTTTTGTTCATAGTAAATAGATCGGAGACCTTTGGATATTACTCTCGAGGGGCTTGGTTAGCTCGATGGTGCTGGAAACACGCCTGAAGCCGCTTTCTTAATACGTACAAGAGATAGTATACAGGCATTTTCTGAGGCATGTATCTTCCTAGTATGATCGTCATGTCGCATTCGACACACAAAAAGTGCCTACACAGATGTTCCAAGGAAGGCACACATGCTCCGAACGTGCTTGGGGAGTGTCCGCATGTCGCCATGTCTGCAGTCAGAGACTTCTGTACGCGACGCATGAACAGTGAGCACTGGGGCTTCATGAGAGCAGCAGAAGCGCTCGGTGGAACCACCGAGCAGCGCTTACGAAGCGCAAAGCTATAGCTTGAGCAGGGAGTATGTTGTGGCGCACTCTCGCTTACTGGCTGCAACGTAAACATCAGACTCTTCAACTGACGCGGTTTTCCGGCCTCCGGCTATCCCGACCCCCTCGCATTGCGACAGTGACCGGCGTCGAGGAAAACGGTAAAGCGAGCCTCCCGCGACAGTCTGTCGATCATATATAGTGACAACAAGCGACTTGTGACCAATGCCGAAAAATCCAATTCGCTGAGCGTTCCTTCTTCGCTCCAAGTCGTTTCGACGGATGCCAGCAAAAAGCCGGCGAGGTGAAACTTGAATACTTTTAAATACGTTCTGAGAGAAATGTATCGTCGCATGAAGCCGCGTTAGTAATGCGTTGAGCAAACATTTGGGAGCTCGGCAAAAGAACGGATCAATCGCCTCGAATAATGAGTACATATTTCGATGCTCAAAGGGAATGGGTCACGTGAGGAATGGACGTAAGCTTTGGACTCGAATCTCGGTGAACGAAAGATGAGCACGTGACGAAGGCAAAACCTCGACTCCGCGCCTCTCGACGCGGAGCAGCCGTTGCTCCGAACGGCGGACTCAAACCGTTCGATGAACGCCGGGTCATCGAACTGCTCACCGCAGGGACCGATCTGTTCGTGAGAATGAAAACCACGGGTACGAAGAGACGATATTGCCCAAATCACGACGACCTATAGGTGCGATTCGCTGCCTCTGCCCCCCCCCCCCCCCCCCCCCTTCCCTCTCCTCCTTCCCCCCCGTCCCAACACGTGGTGCGCGGCCAGCAGGTTCTACGCATGGAGGCTCCCGATGGCTTCTTTCGGAAGTTTGGGAGTTTGTTTCGTCCGGACCAGAAAGTGAGGAGCAACGACAGCCGACACGAGTGCGGGGGAATTTTCGATGAGGCAGTGAACCGTGGCCGCGTCGGTGCCGTCGCGAAGCGGCGCACGCGGCACTGCCCCCCACTCCGCGTGGGGGTCCCGAGGGATCCCGGAGGCCCTGCCCTCCCTGAACCTCGCTCGTCGACAACATTCGCACGAGCGCCCAGCGCTGTGGCCGTCGCCGACGACGGAACAGCTCGATGGAAACACATGAACGGGAAATGCGCAGACGGGGCATTTTCTTCCTCAAAGTTCTTTCGCATGTGTTGCACGGCCGCGGTCTTCCTGTTGTCGCGCTCCACCGACACGTGCGCTTCAGACCTCCACTCGGGCCGAATTATTTCGCGCCTCAAAGCCCGGTGCACTGCGATCTCGCACAAGTTCTGCAAGTTGCCCTTGACGCGACAGCGAACCGACTGCGGCGTAGATGTTCGGGATCGTGCCGGGTCCGCGCATTTCAACGGCGAGACGCACCGCAAAGGTTCTCCACGCGCCGACTGAATGGACTTGGGCACTCGCAGTTGTCGAACCAATACGCCGCCAGCCGCTCGGGCGCGGAAAGCATCGAGCAACCACGTTCGCCACAACCCGCGAGCATCGTCGCAGAATAACAGTGTCGGCTCGAGGTGCTCGCTCGAGGACATCCGAAAAGCGCAGCGACAGCGTGCCGCGAAAGCCGGAGTGAAATCAGCCGAGCCGAGTTAGTGCGCGTATTATTGTCACCCTGACCCATCCGGCACGATATCGCGGTGGATTCAGGTCGGAAGCCGCGAACCCCGCGAGGTATAACCGCGTAGTTAGTTACACACGGGGACGTGGAAGCAGGAACGGTCGAGATATGCACGGACCACGATTTAGGGAGTAGAGCGTGACGGCGGGACGCAGCCCCCGCGCCTTCCCGGCGGACCGGTGCAGTCGGCCGGACGGGCGATTGCCCCGGCAGCCCCCCCGAGCAAGCGGCGCAGCGCGGGGGCATCGCGCGTGGCACCCGGTCCGACGACCGACCGCCTGTCAACGGCGGCGGAGGCACACTCACCCGAACCATGCAGAAGAGCAGTTGCGCGCCGTCGAACTACGGTCAGCGCGTCACCGTAATCCAAGGCACTCCTTCGGGCACACTCGGCGCCCTCGTCAGGTGGCCGCTGCCACTCCCCCGCGGTCAGCGCACCGCACCGCGCTCACGAGAGGACACATATTCCGAGGTCCGGCGACGACACGCCGCGGCCGCAACGCCGCCGCACCAGCGCCATACTTCCCGGGGGACGAGGACGAGCAAGGCAGCACGGGACGACAGCCGGCACGAAGGACGCGATAGATGCGACTGCCGCCGCCACGGCGACGCTGGGGCTACGGCGGGCGGCCGTTCGCCCTTTCCAGAGGGCGGGGCCAGCAGCCGCGGCACTCGGGCGGCGGATGCACTCCGGCTGCGCCCGTACCTGCGGCGGAAGTGACGCGCCCTCTGGCCGCGCCGACACTCGACGTCTCCGCCGCCGGCACGCGCCGCCGCCGACGGCTCGGGGAGGGCCCGGGGCCCGAGCAACAGCTCTCGAGGCCGCCGGATCGCGTACGTCACGAACGGGAGGCCAGCGCGGGACTGGACGCGAGCACCGCGCGTCGCTGTTGGCCTCCGAATGCTTACGTGACACTCACGGGCCATTGGGCTGGCTTAGGGAGCTCGTCCTCCGCTGCCTTTCGCAAGGTCAGAATCCGGTATTGTCAATCTGCTGGGGTGTGTGACAAATGTATGACTCCGGGGTAGGGGCTCCTCGGGGCAAGGGATCATGATTTGGTCTTAAATGAATGGGTATAATTTTATTTAAATCAGATTTGTTTAATTTAAATCGAATTACTTTCATTGAAAAGAAAACTATAACTGGGATATCTTTACCACGAACATATTTCTTGCCATGCCAGATTGATTCATTAATTTGTCTGATTACTGATAACAATAGGGAAAGAAGAATTTCTGTAAATTAAAGACACCTTTTAATTGACAGCCTTTTATTGAGGTGATCCCTGCTAAACTAAAACAAAAATATAGATATACATCTATATGTATACATATATTTTTTCTTCAGTTAGTCAAAAAACACTATTTTATCTTTCGCGTCCTGATGTTATTAGAATAGGACATTAGCCCCCCGCCTCCCTTTCTAGTATTTGTATCTTTCTATGGCGTTCTGATTTTGTTGTGGTAGGATGATGAACGAAGTGGAAGGCAGATATCAAACTCAACGCTCGGATTAGCTCGGAAGTGCACTTTTGCTTATTTACTAATTTATTGTTAGATACTATTGTCTCCACTGAAGAGCTATTACAACATAATTAAAAAAAATAGCCGTACACCAAGGCAAAAACTATTGAAAGTGTAACTCAATAGCCCACCACGAAGTTATCAAAAATAGTTAAAGTCACAGGTTGTAAAAAATAGTCAAAGTCACAATTGCCAGAGGGAAGAAAGAAAATATGAAACAGTCGTTTTTAAATGTGTATTGTTTTAAAGCTCGGCAATAATTTAAGCGTGAGAACCCGAATAGTTATGATTTTAAATAATAAGAGCTCTATATGCGAATGGTGCCGTTCATTATGTCATAAAGAGTTATCAATCTAAAAATTGGTTATACCTTAAGCCCTCGTGCATTTCTGCACCAGTGTATCATGTTTTTTTTTTTTTTTTTTTTTTAAGTCGGAATACCTTACTATCAAACGTAAGCATACATCGACTCCTTCGTACCAAGAACGTCATCTGATTGCAACCGCCTTCCAGCACCTCTGGTAAACATATACCATCAATTGAACTATTTAAAGAGGCGTTAACCATCCACCGTTGCTAAAATACCGGACTAATTTTTTTTTTTTTCTAACAAAATTGCTTACTCATATTGTATTCTTATTCTGTTATATTTTGCAGCGTAAATTTGTATGGCCTCGCCCTTTGTAATGCCCCTATTCATAAAGTAGCACACTTCCTCAGCACAGGCTTGGGCCAGACTGGCGTGAGCTTGAGCCAACTTGGCTTAAGCCTGGCCCAAGCTTGCGCCAAACTGGCCCAAGTATGAGCTGGGGAAATGTGCTGCAGTGAACAGATAAATTATGGATTTTGACTCAAATATCCAAAGCTGAGCTCTTTTTATTATTTCGGTGGTTGATGATCTCGTGTTATAGATGTTAGAAATAAACCGAGAAGCTGACTCTTGGATGCGTGTCACTTTGTCAATTCCATCCTTCACTTCTAAGCTGACAAAGCGGTGGAATCGACTCATTCGTTCCCGCTAATACGCGCACGTGGCCGGATATGAAAGGGGGGTGGTTGACTGGCACAGCGAGCGCGTAGCAACCACCGCAGTATCAACGCAGGGGTGAACAGTAAAGTAGGAAACTGCAAAAACCCAGCAAGGCATTCGCCGTGAAGAGCAGTTCCCATTCTAGATTCGCCCGTGCTATGCCTCTTTGCTTTTTTTTATATCGGTCTTCACCTTGGGGAGTTAAGTCAGGGAAAAGCAAAAGCCACCGCAGATATTGACCCTTTTGCAGTTCGTACAGCCATTCCAATGTATTTTTTTTTTTCCGTTTTGCTTTAATTACACAACGTGTAAACAAATCAATTTCATCAGGATTGCACAAGTTTCTAATGCTCATATTTTCTTTCTTGTTCTTTACTGTCCTGTGCTTTATGTAAGCGTTTTTATTAACATAGTTTATTATAAAATATACAGTTCTCCGGTGCTTGGAAGGATGGAGCGAATGTTATATATATATTTTTTTAAGCTTTGCTCTTCGGTGTGGCATGCTAACGCCGAAGAGCGACTGTGCTTGTATAAGTTTGGGCATGTTCATGTTTAGTTTACTGTTGAAACATTAATTTCTTGTGTGCAGTGTGTTAGTAGGTAGTTTTAATGTTTCCAAACCCACAGCCCAGCTTATACATATTTGTCGCTTTGGAAAGCAAACAAAGCACATGCCATATACACAAGCATTGACCAGCCGTTTCTGCTTTTATTTGTGTTGGAACTGAACGCACCATCATATATCTTAATTGAAACGTCCTTGATAAATCATCATTAGAACAAACAACCAAAAGATAATCTCCATAATTGAGAATAAGCACTACAGTGTCTGCTGGTACGTAGATAGTAATGATATGTATCCCTAGATTCTGCTCATGGCTCCTCATACCTCTCTTCCTTGGTACTCTTCGTCATGTACCAATACCTGCTACGTTGTAAACAAATGCATACCCCACAAAGTAACAACTATCACTGTTTACTTGTGCAAGGCAGTCTTTGGGAATAACAATTGCCACACACTATGTTGCTAATTCATTTTAATACCGCCACATATGGCCTTGTCAAAATGCTGAATAAATTGGCAAGAATCGCCTGTGTAAAAAAAAAAAAATAATAATTACAGTTCTAAATAGCAGAACAAGAAATAAGAGACACAGTTGTCATTGGAAATGTAAATTGATATCAGTGCGATGATGAACAATTTGAATTTACTAAAAGGAACATCAGCATTGTATGATCACAACATTCAGTATAGGTACCCAGATTCTTAAGATGTGATGCATCAGTTTATGGTGTCTTTGAGAGTATGAAACAGATTAAGAAACTATGTATTCAAAACAAGGATGTAACTTCCTTAAAATTCACGAAGCAAATTTAGGTAGCACAAATCATGAGGTCTGGGACACATAAAAAAAATGATGAAAAATTGAAGTAATGGGAACTGCAGCTAAATATGCGCTAAATAATTATTTGGTTACATATTAAGTCTGCCAGTGACTGCTGCAGGAAGCTGGAGGAATCGAAACAAGCTGATATATAGAGTAATATGATTGAAGGGGACTCATTGTAGCGTGTAATTAGGTCAGTCATTCACTAATGATGTTCCTAATTCATTCATTTCATTTCATTCATTTATTGATACTGTCAGCCCTTGCACAGGGCTATTACAGGGGTGGAGAAAAAAAAAGGACAATAACAAACAAACATGTACGCTTACACGCAAGCATACACAAAGGTTACAGACATATTGAGAGGCTTCGTCATTTCGGCAGTTTACGAAACGAATATCACTTCGTAGTTGTGAAACATTTCTTTACACAAGCTGTAGTGGTTTTAGTTTGTAGCACATACAATAATATCACTGACACGGTCCAGAAATTCATTTAGCGACATAGATGACACAGCAGAATCAGGTAATATATTCCAATCTTTAATAGCCCTCGGAAAAAAACTGTACTTAAAGCAATCGTTTTTAACAGATGGATTAGGAATGTACATGCTATGACGATGTCTTGAGGATTCGGTGGAGGAAATTTCAAAGTACTCGGATTTCCTTATTTTTACGCAATTATGAATAATCTGAAAAAGAAACTTTAACCTTTCATACTTCGTTCTTGATTCAAATGTAGGAAGATTGGCAAGTTCACATAGTTTTGTGGGGGAATGAACGTGGCTGTATTTATTAAAAATAAACCTGGATGCGAGTCGCTGGATTTTCTCCAGCTTATTGCAATTTGTGACGGTATATGGGTCCCATACAATTTTAGAATACTCGATGACGGGTCTTACCAGTGTCTTATAAGCTAGACTTTTTATTTCAGGAGTTGCAATAGCGAGGTTTCGTCGAAGGCACCACAGTGCTTTATTAGCTTTGATGCATACGTTATCAATGTGAGTGTTCCATTTTAGATCAGGAGTAAATATTAAGCCTAAGTATTTATGTTCTTTAACTCTCTCCAACTCAGCACCCGCAATGCAATAATTATAAGCCAAAACATTTATTTTTCTCGTAATAGACATGAAGACAGATTTTTCAGGATTTAGCACCATTTGCCAATTTTGACACCACTTTTTAATTTTTTCTAAGTTACAGTTTAATTCGACTTGATCAGCCGATGTTTCAATTTTATTGTAAATCACACAGTCGTCGGCGAATAGTCTGATTGGAACCGAGATGTCATTGCGCAGATCGTTAATGTAAATCAAAAATAAAAGAGGACCCAAGACACTGCCCTGGGGTACGCCTGAAACAACTGGGGACATAGTGGATTTGCTACCCCCAACTTTAACGTACTGTTTCCGTGATGAAAGATAAGAGGAAAAACCACTTCGTGATGGCTGGATTCTTAAAAACAGCACTGATTTTCAATAGCAATTTGGGGTGAGATACTTTGTCGAACGCCTTTGCGAAATCTAGGAATATTACATCAGTTTGACCACGACAGTTTATCCTTTGAGAGAGATCATGAACAGTTTCTATGAGCTGGGTAGTCGTGGAAAGACCTCTGCGGAAACCATGCTGCGATTTAAATAATATGTCATATTTTTCAAGGTAAGCCAGTAGATGTTTAGATATGATATGTTCAAGGAGCTTTGAGCATGTACTAGTAAGGGAAATGGGGCGAAAGTTACAGACGTCATTAACACTACCGCTCTTGTGGA